TTTTATCCACAACAGGCAAGTTTAGAAATTGTCTGCCCCTATCAGGGTTTTTTCTGGAAAAAATAAACTAGAGGGAGCACACACCGGCAAGAGAGCAACTCGACCAAGCAGGGAAATGAGTGTGGAAGGTTGGATCAACCTGGAAACATTATATCGGAAGGTTTCTGTGTCGTTTTGATGGTGTAATTATCACCATTGAAATATTTTTGGATTAATTTTAGTGTATTCTGTGTCCAGACACATTGTCATCTGGTGTTGCTGGGAAGTTTTCATGGAGAAAAATATATTTGAGGCAATTCGGTAAGAAGGCCTATGAAATTATGACCTGTCCACCTGTACCAGATGGACATATCAGCAGATGTCTAATAGATAATATTTGGTGATTGTTGTCCTAGGTAACTATTCAAAATAGCTAGAAGTTTCAAGCAATCACTTTTTTTTTCCCTGGGAGCATTGAAGATAATGTTTAAACATCTAGGCAGGACATGAGCTAAATAGTTTATCTGAGAACTGTAAAATACTGTATTTTCGCTTGGAATTAATTTTTGCTATTTTCACCGAAGGAATGATTCAGTGAAAATAAAATTCAGTGAATATACCTTATTTTACATTCAACTTTTCAAAAATCCGTGAAAATAAAATCCATACAAAACACCAAAAAAAGTCTTTTCAGGGAAAATTAATTCTAGCTTAAATCAAGATCAAAGGTCAAGCATATAATCATGAATGGTAGCAAATGTTGATTTTACAGGAAATCTTTTTGTGATTTTAACTGAGACAGGTAAATGTTGAAATATGAATATATTAAAAAAAAAAAAGTTTTTCGCAAATTGCTAATGTACCCAAGAAATAAGCATGAGAACCAAAAATGACAAATTTTATTTTAAATAATGTTTAACTGTATTTTCTTGATTAGAGCTGCTGACAAACTAAAAATCCTACTTCATATAAGCTGGATCATTAAAATATGACTTATTTTAACCGTAGAAGTACTTCTGATGAGGTTCATACATATTTAATAGATTAAATTAATTGTATTGTGAATCATTAAAATTTATTGTCACTGCAGACACACCTGTTAATGGTGTACATGCACGACTGATGTAGCAAATTTATTAATATATCTATTACTGTAAAATACTTTATTTTAGCTGGAATTAAGTTTCACTGAAAAGACTTTTTGGGTGTTTTGTATGGAATTTATTTTCACTGATTTTTGACGAGTTGAATGTAAAATATAGGAAAAAAAGTATATTCACTGGATTTTATTTTCACTAAATCAATACTTCAGCGAAAATAGCGAAAATTAACTCCAAGCGAAAATAAAGTATTTTACAGTATACTGAATCGTTAAAATGCAACCTTTGTCCTATTTATGTAAGTATGTCGTGCATTACTCTTCCCAAAAGGGCAATAAGGAGAAAGGTCGTTTGATGATACTCTTCATATAGAACACATGAACTAATTTTATCACCAATTCTGTCTCCGTAACACCATAAGTTACAGCGAGCTGTAATTTTGCGGTATTTTACAGGGTATTTTCATCCTACCATATTAGAAAATGTAAATTCTAAATATGGAATTATTACGCGCGTAAGCATCCTCTAATAATAAAAAACAAACATGGCTGCCACCAGAGTTTGACCAAACTCCACACAAAGAAGTTCGCTGATTCTGTTTTAACCATTTTGAATTTCAACATTCGCATGGTGAATCCTTGAAAGAAAAAAATGTATAATAACTCAGACAGTACGCTGCGCATCGACCTCCACTGCACGTTGGTTAATACTGTACTGTCTTCGGGCATACTTTGAGGTATTCTCGTAATACTGTGGAATACTTTATTTTTGCTGGAATTAATTTTCACTGAAAATGCTTTTTGGGCGTTCTGTATGGAATTTATTTTCACTGATTTTTGATGAGTTGATGTGAAATATAAGAAAGAAAGTATATTCGCTGGATTTTATTTTCACGGAATCATCCCTTCAGTGAAAATAAATTCCCAGCGAAAATAAAATATTCTACAGTAACCTTATTAATTAGTCCTGTATCTCTGTACATGAGCCGAGACATAGAAATGAAATTCAGTTTGATTACAAAAAAAATACATGAACAGCATATCCTGTTTAATTTCTGACCATTTATTATGATTTTGGAAGAGTCATTTAATACATCTAATTTTTGTTGACACTAGACCAGCCAATTATTCACTCTAAATTATTAACTATGCTTTTTTGGTCCATATTACTTTATTTTTGACATGAATAACATTTACTTGTAACAATGACTTGTTCTGCTTAAGTTGCAATTAGAAAACAAGGTTAAAACATTTTTCTATTACAAGCAGGCGAGCAAAATTACAAGATGGCATTGTACTCCTCTTACCCCCGGGGTCAGCACCCCCTCTCCCCCCAGGGTCAGCACCCCCTCTTCCCCCAGGGTCAGCACCCTATTAACACTTGGGTGCCAAATTCAACTTCTGTCACCATTCACAAGTTATAAACCTGCATAATTTTTTAATATTTTTTCTAGACAGTAAATATAAAAAATATATATATATATAAACAGGTGAGATTTTGCACCAAAATCTTGCGATGAAAAATGATGACACCAGGGTACTCAGTGTTGATGAGAAAATACTGTAAAACGTGTCTTTTTCGCGAGCATGTCTTTTTCGCGAGCATGTCTTTTTCGCAAATTTAGCTAATACAAGACGTCGCTAATGACTTTATTATGAATTCAAAATGGCTGCCAAAGAAATCAACAATGACGAGAGATTCGCTAAATCACATTTCGCTAATTCGTCATTTTACCACAATTCGCTAAAATTGCATTGTCGTTTTTTCAACAT